GCCTGCTCTAGGTCTTGTAGTTCCTTGAATGATAGGATGGGTGAGAGATTTTTATCTTTTTGGGGCTGCAAGTAATGTGCGTTTTGATGGTGTTGGGGGTGGGTTTGGTACTTGGACTAGTCACATGGACATGGACTTGTTGATCGTTTTGGTTGGAGAATCCACCAGAATGGGTCCACCTTTGACCTGAAAACGATACGTGAAGGAATAGGGTTTGTGCCCACGGCCTTAATCCCTGAGAAATGCATGCCATCGAGTCTGATGCATAGTTCACATCATCGGTCTTTGGCTGACAAGGTGTTTTGACCAGCACGCTGGAAGTTCTCGCCACCAAAGAAAGACACGTCAAAAGTCAAAAGGTGAGGGATCACCTGCATATATAACGACTATACGCGCTCTCAGCCACTACTGTGCGTCACGCAGAACCGAACCTGCACATACAATCAGTCCCGTCGCGCCGTCTTCCTGCGAAGAGTCCCGTTGTGCCGAGTCGCTGGACTTCTGGCATGCCATTCGTCAGCGGCTGCGGGAGTACTTCGCAGAGGACCAGGTCGGCGAGATGACCAAGGCCCCTGGGAGAAAATCGCCTCGATCCGATGCCGCGTTGGTTCGCCTCGGTTTGGCCGTTGGAGTGGAGAATATGGTGGGGGGGGTGCTGGTGACCGTTGTAGTGACGTGGATGTGAGGTCAAAGGAATTCTTGAAATGGAGACAGTTCGAACACATTGGACATCTTCAGCATGAACATGGATGGACCCCATGTTGGAGGTTGATGGATCCTTTGGGGCAGTGATCTCTGGTGATAGATTGCTAACCACCCACTCGAAGCGGTGCGAATGCCCAGAGGGGTCCACGCAACATGATCGACAGGTCCACGGCTCACGGGGCTCACGCGGCGGATCATCAACCCTCGGGGGGGGGGGTAGAGGACGCTACTAGGAGCAAAGGGCATCGCTACAAACGGAGCAAGGACGCTACTACGAGCTCCTGGCCATACTACTAGAAACAAGAAGCTTCTAGTTGTTTGTCTTTAGAGTTATTTAGTGTTTTCCACCTTTAATTTGACCACTCACCTCGCTCACCTACTTTTTCATTCAACGGGCAGATGGATTGGCCAAGAGGATGCCAGCGAACCAACAGGATATCCCGCTGGAGTCATCCCCCTTTGGCCGCTGCACATTCTGGGGGTTAGTCACCGGAAGCTGAAGATAGAAGTCCAAGCCATGATTTTAACATACACTTCCTGGAAATATCAAGCCAAGACACTCCATGTATGGAATATATTCCTACATTGGGGTGGTTTGGGGGGTCAGTGTAGCCATGTATGGCATACATGGAGTGTTTGGGAAGGTTAACGGTTAATGAGATGGGACCGGCATACTATACATTCACCCCTTGACCCTTTGTCAACCACTCCAATGAAAGGTAACTATGCCAGTCCCATGCAGTGTTTGGGTACACTCTTTGGCATGAGCAAGGTGGAAGGGGTTGGCATGGTATTTCGGGTGACCCACATCCACCCAACGGATGTGGTTCCGCCACCTAACTGGGCTTCAGGGATTGCACTCCCTGCCATGGTTCCCCTGGCCGCACAAGGCCCCCATGGCCGGAAGCCGATGGCGGACGATGAACTCCGAACAACCCAACCGGCGGTTCATCACTCCACAGAGCCGATGAGTCGATCTCACCCCAGCGGGTCGTGCGCCCCCAGCGGTCGTGCGGAGCCCCGTTCTGAACACCTCGGGTGGGGACCTCGGTGTGATTCGATGGTTTGTCGACGGAAGCTCCCGGGGATACACTGTCCTCCCAGTGTTCAGCCAAAGGACTGGGATGAAAATTTTGCCGCCACGCCGACATTCTTCCACGTCGGTCTCATAGTCTCATAGTACTTTGTATGTATTTGGCCTTGACGGGTAAATCACGTGTGAATTTCTGTTCGTCTCCAGGAGAGCACCAGCCGCCCGCCCACAGAAATAAACCAGAAACCCAAACCTCTGATTATGTCTTGAACAGCATCCAGAGGTCCTTCCCTCCTCCTTGAGCTGTTATGGACTTTGCTGTTTGAGGGACTCTTCTTTCTTGACAGGTTTCGGCTGGCCTCAAGAAGCTGCAGCAGCTGTTGCCTGGCTGGGGAATGGACTGCTGGTGCTGTTGGCTTTGGCTGCGCTGTACCTTTGTAAGCCTTTGTATGCAATTGTATGTAAGATTATGTAAGGATGTTCACTAATGCTGTGGTTGAAAGCATGTTATGGCAATTACTTAGTACGGCTGACCATTCGGGTGGACACAGATCACCCTGAGCATGTTGGAGGCCGAGAGTGTTGCTTGATCGCGTCTGGGTTCCTCACCGTGGACCCCTGAGGTTTCGACACCACGACACGCGGCAGCGCATGCAGCTGATCTTGGGGTCCTTGCCCATTCGCTGGAAGCTCCACCAGAGTGCCCCAGCCGGGGCTGCTCCACCGAGCGGGTCACCGAACAGTCGCCGTGGGTGTGCGAGTGATTGGGGGGGTGAACCCCCAACACAAGGAATATATACATGCATATACTGTATATAATGTGAATATATGTATATTAAGATAATGTGAATATAATGTGGTATCGGAATGTAATTAATTGTGAATATATATAATATATATATGTATATTCTGATACCAGCGCCCCGTTTCGGGGTGGTTCATGGATACCCCGGATACCTCTAAGGAGCTATAAATTAGACACCCTAAACTGGGGGCCCTGGTATATGGGTATGTTTTCTTGATAGGGAGACCTCCAGCCAATTGGTAGACTGGTCTATTTTCCGGGTCTTTCAACGCACCCACATCGTCTAGAATCTGTGTGCGTCTCCAGATGTAAACCCCGTCCGTTGGGAGACGACCACCATAAACCAGCTGCATATATAATATATACATTTGCATTTCAAGGTTTGATTTTGGCGAGATCCTATGCTCAAAACGCCCAAACGTGGGTTGGTCGGTGGAGTATTGTTCATGTGTTTCAGAACACCAAGCGGTGCTTTGGCAAGGCCTGTGCAGTCTGGTCGGTTCACCGGCCCTTGGTTTCGTCCAAGGCAACAAGTTGGTGATCCAGCGACCCTGGGCGGGCAGGTTGGCGTCCGGACAATCGAAACGTGAGCACATTATGGTTTAAACAAGTCAATCCCCATGCTACATAGCCTGTGTTTATCTTTATATTGGGGGTATGCTATATATATATATGCCAAATCAAACTTGCTAACTTACTAACCCAAACAACCAACATGTGACGTGCAAGGCTTCCAACGTTCAGGAGAAAGACATCACGTAAGAAGTATGACCAGAAAGCATAATGTTGTATGGAAACACAATAGTCACAGTACCATGGTTCAAGCAGTCAGTTTTTGGAACCTATATAGATATTCCTGCAACAAAGCTGGTTGACATAATGTACCGTCATGTTTCATCACGTACCTATTTGTTCTGTGAAAACAACCTGGTGGCCAGGAAGAAGACGACCCACCCACCTATATGTACTTTGTTGAGTCCAAGCGCTTTCATGATTCTCACAAAAGAGTCCACCAAAGTAGGAGATGTGCCAAGTCGGAGATGTTTTGGGATGTTGGTTTTATCGCTGCTCCGAGACGTTGGCATTCGCAGACTTTATGTCAAAAAGGTGTTGATGGGTGAGAAGAAATTAATCTTCCAAATTGCCATTAGCAAAGGTCTACACGACGATCCTCCATGAGTGCTGAAAAGGCTTTCTCCGCTGAGTCTGAAGATTCTCCGGTCAACACGTGGATTTTCCAACGACCCAAGATTTGACCCGGTCGGTTTGGTGATTGACCCGGTTTTCTGCAGCAAACGGCCGCACATCAGCAGGTGTATCCCATGTTTCACATGTAGAGAGGACAGTCCTCCCTGGTCCTTTCCAAGGAAGCTCTTTCTTCGAGTCGGTGGCCAGACAAGTCCACTCAATGAACCGTCCCCTGGATGCAGTCCGGGTGGTCTGCAAAGGTGTAGCCAGGTCTTCATGTCTTGCATATCCCAGACACTCCATGTATGCCATATATATTATATATAATATACCTACTTTGACCCCCCCAAACCACCCCACTGTAGGCATATATGGCGGTCCCATGGAGTGTCTGGGTATGTTGAAGTTCAACCAAATAGTGTTTCCTGACCACTGACGGTGGCTGTGAAGGACCTACCTCTTCAGAGGTAGCCACGTGGGTGCCACGCTAAATATTGATCTCAAAGAGGGCTGCACTGGTGCAGACAATGCTTGCCAGGTAGAGTTGCATTGATAGAACTGTTTTATGGTGTTTCTTTTTTAGTTTTGCTCATTGACTCTATCGACACGGTGGGTCTGAACATGCTTTACCTATCCCTTGCCTGGCCAGTGATCAGCTGCTTCGCATCACTGCCTAGATAAACGCAGTGTTGGAGGAAAATAAACTTATCACGACCTCCCTCCCTCCTCCCTCCGTCCTCCCTCCCTCCCATGACACTAACAGTGGACTGGTCCGCCATGTTCAACATGTTCCATAGTGGAACCTCGAAATTCTGTCAAAGACTAAGTCTTTGTCTGCCTTTTTGCAAAACGCCAGCGTTGGTTTGGTAGGAGGCCGACCACCGAAGAACAGTGTCGTGTCCCTGCGTTTCATTCCCCGACACGACCTTGTTGGGACTGGATATTTACCTACAGGGGGATGGTTTCTGGGGTCGATGTAGGCCCGCTACATGGAGTGTCAGTGTCTATGATTTTAGGGGAAGTGGGAGGTCTGACAAGGAGGCGGGGTTGGGGCGCCTGCTCAGAAAATTGCCATACGTGGTGGTGGAAGGTTTGGAACAGCTGGCGATGATGCACCAGCCGATTGCAAAGCTTGACGGAGGACACGGAAGGAGCAAAGCTTTGGCTTCTCTCCAATAACCTTAGCAACCCACTTTCCAGAGGTTTCGCAAGCTGAACACTGTTTCCAACACAAAAGTGCTGTGTTGCTTTGGCCGTGTGCATAACTTCACCCCCAAAAGGGTATGTCTACATATGCCTATTCTAAAACTGCGAACGAAGATCCCGGTGTCCAACCTCGGACGTGCGATCCTGCACGTGCACGACCGCTGGTCACCTCTCTCAGCCGAGGTCGTACGATGCTCACACGTCTCCACATCAGCTACCAGGGAGAGAAGGTCGGGGTCACGGCCTGGCCCCTGTAAACCAAGACAGCATTGTTCCAGATCTTTCGATGCATGTTCCCTTTGTAGTCATCCGCAAAAGTCCGGGTGGAAAGATGTATAATTAATTGGTTGCCTATAGACATGGATGCATAGGGCTACCGGGCTACCTTCGGTGTTTGGGCCAGCTGGGAGGATCCAAATAGCTTCTAGCCCTTTTGGGATTTTGGAGGGGTCCAACTGTAGAGCGTGCATGTGAAAGCGTTTTGGATCGTTTTGGTATTTCAGGTGACTAAGCTGGAGCCTGTTTGCTTCAGCTTCTCATGTTTTGTGGTTTGGTTCAGCTTTTTGAGGCAGGTCGGTGGGGAAGACGTTTTTCGCGAACAGTTCGCTTGCGACTGGCAAGACCACGTACTTTGGCAAGACATGTGCTGACGCCAGCGTCCAGAAATGTGCGCACAAGTTTGTGTATGTGTCCTGTTCGCGAAAACAAACCAAACATAAAAAGCAACGGAAAGCAAATTGGACTTATTTTATCATGTCTTCCTGAAACCCGAATGCTCGCAAGAACAGACTTCTGCCTCATCCGACCGATGTGCTCGAAATTCCACCCTTGACGTGGCTAGACACATCCCAATTCCTGTGACTTTGCGCGTGGCTCGACCGTCCTGACAGATGCCCCGGTGGCGCGACCGGCTCGACCGTCCCGGTGTCAGGGCGTGGACGCCGGGGGCCTCACGCGCGACTTCTTCGCCAGCTTCGCGCGGCACATGGCCGAGGCCCTCGGATCGACCGGCGCGAGACGTGGCGGATCGAGACGTGGCGGCGTGATGACTGGTATGGTTGGTTGCACGTATGTTTAACTGGTTGACTTTCTCCTCACAGGATCTATAGAAAGGGTCTGAAGTGATGACCATGATCAATATTAATTAATGACCAATAGAGACAGCCTGCTCGGGAGGTGGCAGGGCTTTGGCAATGGGTCAACTGACTTCTGCCAGAGGTGCAAAAGGAGCAGATTCTGATTCTGTGGGATGTTTTCCAGGAGCGAGGATTTCCGGCAAAAGGCTTCACAGGATACCTGTAGCTCATTGAGGCCTTATCATTGACAGGATAGCCTTGGGGGAGAGGTGGCAGGTGGAAGTGGCAGAAGATTTGCTTTCGGATTTAGGGTCCAAATGATCCCATGTAAGGCTTTGATGTGTATACGTGTAGATTCGATTGACCACGTTAGGAGTTGAATGGTGTTTATGGTGGTACCGGTTCTCAGACCGAAGCTCAGTTGTTTTGCGGTGTCCATCACTGTAGGACACCGCAGACATTTGCAGAGTCCACGGGTTGTGACAGAACCTCCAACTGTCCATCCACACGTCGCATCTTCGGATCTTGGAAACAATCCCTGCCCCAGAAAGCGGAGCCTGACGAATTAACCAGGTCACGTTACGTTCCATCACTTTTTGTGATCACCTCCATTGGGTTTCCACGCTCGGGGTCTGGACCCCTCAACTTCCCCGTGGTCTCAACTTTCTGTCCTGTGACCCGCCAATCTCTTGTGCTTGCCGAGCCTGGCCTATGCGGAATTTCCTTCCAACACACACACACACACTCTGACAATTGTATTCAGTTAACTCAGTTCCCCAAGGAAAG